TTGCAATGAAAACAAAGAAAATAATATTTTTCAAGAATATTTTCCAAATTACAATTTTGAGAAACGTCCGTTACTTAGCGATGAACAATTTGGTAATATGAAAAGAATTAGGCGATCAAATCCATACCGTTTACAAATTTATCCAAAATCAGAATGTTTTCCAATAAGACGACCAATACCAAATGAATTTACGGAAAATTCCCTCTACAATATTGGAGAGTTTGATACAATTGAAAACCGCACTTTCTACATCAATAAATTAAGAGAGCGTTTAAATTACGACCCGAATTACAGTGAGCAAGAATATAACAATGATTACATGTTATGTATTACATCCGATCAAATTCCTCAAAACATAAAAAATTATTTCAATAATATTTTAATGCCACAAAATTCAGATAACAACGGTATTTTTTGTAATTCTTTTGGAAATTGGCACGTTGTAGAGAATAATTTAGATGAAGATAAAATTGAAAATGACATTTCTTACAAAAATAATCGCAATATAATAAATCCGCCAAGTGATTTTCAAAATGAATTTGATAAATTTGAATTTCCGAAAATTAAATTTGACTTTGAATCAACAGAACCTTCAAACAGTTTTCAAAATCAATATAATTACTATCTCAATGAGAACTCGACTAATATTTGTCAAGAAGAATTTATTGAGCCGAAAATAGAAGTTGATTCAGATTCTGAAAAGCAAAAAACTTATTTTAAAGTAAAATCTCCAAATACTTGCCAGAGAAACGAATTTGTGAAGGAACAAAATCTTGAATTTGAGTTTAATTCTGAAGAGAGCGACGTTATTGCAAATAATATGAAGTCATTAAATTTTACTAAAATGCAGTCATGTAGTGATGATTCAATAAAACAAGAAATTATAAATGATTTTAATGGCAGCATTGAATTCACTCAAAACTTCTTTTTTTAATAAGAATTCCTAATAAACTGTTGCTTATTAATTTAATTTTAAGGTAGGTTAATCGAAATAAAGGTACATATGAAAATATTTCAATTGTAATTGATAGTTCAAAACAATTATAATACAATTATTTTTTTAAGTTTTTTGGTTCATTCTTAGAGTATTATTCAAAAAAAAAGTTCTATTTCATCAAAAATCCCAACATCTTTGACATGTGCGCGTAACATTAATAAACGTGATTTTTTCAGGTAATCGGGTAATCATACTTAAATGTTGTATAACCAAATATTATACTTAAATTTTAGAAAAGTGTTGTAAATATTAATGAAAAATAAAAAATTATGTACATATCATAAAAATAATCTTCTTCTTTCTTATCATTCAAAGATAACATGCTACTATGCTTATGGGTTATTTTACGCAAGTAGCATATATATCTACTTACGAGCAAACTATACGATATGCTTACCAAATTCGTAAAATATGATTAGTCAACAAAACATTAAAGATAGTTGGTGTATAAAATTTTAAGCTCGCTAAATATTCAAATTACTCTTTCATAGTGAACTATATTGCATATATTAGAGCAATGTTTTTCTTATGCCGAATTACAAAAGGCTACCTAGTTTTGATTTAAGTTTTAAAATTTTAATGTTTACTTCTCTGCAGTTAAGAAGTAATATGTTACTCATATGCACTTTAAACTTAGTGTATCTGATTGTGTATCTCAAATTTTTTCTTACAGTGTTTAAAAAAATTGAGATGGATTGTTAGATTCTACATTTTTAAAATGCTATTTTTAACTGAGAAATACATACCGAACCTAATATTAACAGAAAATCAAGTATTATTACTCTGCTTTGCTTTAAATGCTTAAACATTTCATTGAACATGTAAGCTCTGCAGGATCTGTTCCATCATAAAGTGAAATAACAATATAAAAGAACACATTTTATATAGTACATATAGTATATAATGTAAAAAATGAGATAAATGGTCCAATGTCTTAAAGTGTTTTCCGTACATACATACATGTTCTTTTATACTGTTGTTTACACTCTACATTACTTTACGTTTCATCATTTCTCTACAGACTTATAATATTTATGTACGTATGGATATTTACACTGTAGACATAAAATGTTTCAAATAATATTTATAATAGAATTAATAAATATGAAATATTAAAAATGTTTAACTTGAATGTTTTCTTATTAAATACACATCTGTTTTTATCAAATTCACATAATAAAGTTAAATTTTTTAGAAATTTTGAAAACAATTACACGCCGACCTTGAAAATTTATATTTTTCTTTTTATAATATTTTTTTGACAAAATCAAAATTGTAATGTGTTATTAATTAGAATCTACAATTAAAAATATAAAGTATTATAAAATATGTGTAAATATTAAAATAAAAGTAAATTATATCTTAAAATGTCAATGACTTTGTGTGAACTTTTAGATTAACTTTTATTGACTGCTTTGTTAGTTTACAGATTTTTATATTTAATTGTTTTTATTTTTTACAATCTTCATTGAGCAGTTTTTTTTATCGCAGAAACAAATTTTACGATTCGTTTTGCATATCGTTCATATTATAAAATGAAATACCCTATTGTATGTATATATTAACATTTAGTAAAAAAATACTATAATTTTAAAATAAACTTACTAATTATTTTAATGTATGCTATTCATACATACATGCTTTTCTTTTCATTAATTTCAAAAACTTAAGCGTATTAAATAATTAATTGTTATTTTTAAAATAAATATTAGAAATTTTTTCAATCTAATATAATGATTTTAATTAGTCATTTTATTTAATTAATACTCGATTTATTCAATAAAAGTGTAAATGGATGAATATTTATTAAAAGAAAACCGCAAATGTTTTTTTTTATTACAAAAAAAATAAACTTATTTTTAAATTTTATTTACTATTTAGTAATTAGTTCAAGTACAAGCTTTGAGGTCTATCACATTTCTGTAAAATGGCTCCTGAATGGTTTTTCGTGTTTGAACCCTATATGTATGGTGATTTTCAATAATTAAGGTCTAACTTAGGTCTTAATATAAAGGAAGTTCGATAAATTCAAACAGCAAAATCTGCATGTTCAAAAATGCTAGCTGTGCTTAAGGCTTTAATTTTTTTCATCACTACTGCAAAAATATTATAAATTAGAGCATTATAGAAAAATGTTGGATATTGAAGAATTATAGTATGTTACAAATTTACAAAATCACAATACATATTTAGTTCCAGCAGTGCATTTAGTTTAAGTGCATGTCTGAATTATCGTAAACCCTCTATATTTTAACTGATTTAACATACCTTTTAATTTTATCATTGGTATATTTTCGTCCAAGAAAATTTTCTTCCACAGGTGTGTAATAAGAGGCCCTACTTTAATACTAAGAGAACTTTTTGAAGAGAATTATTGAAAAGAAATGTGCTGTTTTATACACTATTGGTTCAATTCAGTTTTATTAAGTAAGAAGAAGATTATTATTTTAATTTGAATTTCATTCACAACAGATTACTTTTTTTGTTATCTTTAGATTACAATTAAATAATTGTAATAAAAAAGTTCTTTAACATTAAAATATCATATTATTACTTACATATTTAAATATTTTCTTCCAAACTCTTTACTAAAAATAATTAGAAAAACCAAATTTTTTTTTTAAATTGAAGTTTATAACATGTTTAGTAAATAAATAACTAGTGAATAACATATGTGCTTCATTTATAACATGATAAGTAAATTTTAAATATAAATTAGTGAGGCAGACTTTGTCTCTAAATATGTACTTGAAATTGGATTTGTTTGAAAATGAGCTAATTTAAGGTAAATCAAGCTCATTTATGTCGTTCTTCATTTTCTCCATAAACCTAACGACTAACTGGGTATAAGATCGTGTTTGCTATCAATTTTTTATTTATACGAATTGTTTTTTTTAAAAAACAATTAAAAGCTTTTGTTAAAATTTTTACCAATGAATTTTTTTTTCTTTGAAAATTAAGACACAGGTGTATTTATTTAAAAAAACAAAAAAAAAACTATAAGAGAAAATTAAAGAATTTTAAGTGTAAAAAATTTATAAAATCTTTAATTAAAATTTCACAAAAACTAGTTAAATTTTAACACTTAAACGTTTCGGTATTAAATCGGGAAGAATTCTTAAGAATACTGCCAAGTTCAAATTTACAAGAATACTAGTGTAAAAAAGAAAAAAAAATTATGAAAATGATTAGCCTTTAACTTTAATTTTGTGATAATTAATAGAAATTGTGAATTTTTCCATAGTTTATTTAAGTTTTAATTATAAAAGGATAAAAAGAATAATTGAAATATGAAAATTTATATTTGCATAAGTCTATTTATACTAATTGGAGTGCATAAGGCGTGTAATGCAGCTGTATTTAATCGGAATCAAAAATATGAAGGTTAGCTGGTAAAAAATTTTTTTTCTATATGGCACGACGCTGTTGTCCTATAAATAATGTATTTGTGAATTTATTCAATTCTCTATCTCAACAATGAAATATTTAAAATTAGACTCTATAATTCTACTTTAGCTTTTTTCCTAGTTAAATAATTCAAATTTACAAAGACTTAAACCAAAAATATTTTTTAAAAATTTAAATATTTAAAATTCAATTTTACACGTGGCAAATTTGTGATTTAAAGACAATAATGATTTATCCAATATAATTTACTAGATATCCTTAAAAAAATTGAATTCTAAATGAATTGAATGGTGAATTGTGATCTTATAGCAATTAGTTTCCTAATTGTGCCACTTCTATTGAGAGTAATAAATGGGGATATTTTAATGTTAATAGCGAGGGAAACAATATTTTTAATAGCATTTGGCAACACTATCTTTATGAATATTAACTGTAAAAATAAATTAATACAAATGGTGAAAATAAAGCAAAAAATTTCAAATTACTAATTGGAATTATATTTTTTTTTGTAGACCAAAGATATTGGGTAGAAAAGGGTATGAATTTTTTAAAATCACGACTTAATTTGCTTGATGAAGGATATATTAAGTCAAAAGCAAAAAACATCATATTTTTCTTGGGTGATGGTATGGGAATGCCGACTATAACTGCTGGTCGTATTTATAAAGGTCAATTAAATGAGCAATCAGGTGAAGAGGCATCTTTAGTTTTCGATGATTTTCCATATGTCGGTCTGGCAAAGGTATGTGTATTATGTGTTTTAAATAAAATCATAATTTATAATTAATTGTTTATTTTTTTCCTTGTATAGACTTACAACATTGATAAGCAAGTACCCGACTCAGCTGGAACTGCAACAGCAATTTTTACTGGTGTTAAAACAGCTTACGGTGTAATTGGTATGGATAATAGAACAACTCCAATGGATGCCGAAACAGGAAAATTAGATTCATTTTTAAAATGGGCACAAAATGTTGGTAAACGTACCGGTATAGTAACAACAACTCGTATAACACATGCAACACCTGCTTCTACTTATGCATCAGTTTATGATCGTAACTGGGAATGTGATGTTGAAATTCCAAGTGAAAGCAGTGATATTTATAAAGATATCGCAAGACAATTAGTTGAAAACGAACCCGGTATTAATTTCAATGTAATATTTGGTGGAGGATTAAAACCAATGGGTTATACTGACTTATACGAAATATCTGATATTAGATTTGAAGGTCCAACGGAAGAAATATGTAATCGTATGGATGGAAAAAATTTAGTTAATGATTGGTTAAATTTACCTGGCGAAAATCGAAAATTCATTCAAAATCGAGATGATTTGATGAATTTAGATGTAAATAATGTTAGTCATGTTATGGGTTTATTCCGTAACAATCATTTAACATTCGCTCTCGCTCGACAAGTTGGTGAACCGTCATTGAGCGAAATGGTCGAACAAGCCATACGTGTACTATCATCATCAGAAAATGGTTTTGTATTAATGGTTGAAGGTGGTCGTATTGATCAAGCACATCATCAAAATTATGCACATGCCGCTTTAGAAGAATTAGTTGAATTTGATGCAGCAATTGATATTGCTATGCGTTTAACAAAACGTAAAGATACATTAATAATAGTGACTGCAGATCATTCACATTCAATGTCATTTAATGGTTATCCAGAACGTGGAAATAGTATTTTAGATTTTGCTAATGATTCTGAAACATTTGCATATGAAACGATATCATATTCGAATGGACCAGGTTTTTACAATCATAGAGCTAATCTTTCAACATCTTACATAAATTCAACACGGAATATAAGGGAAGATACATGGATACCCGTTGAAGAAATCGATCCTGCTATAAGATCTTCTCCAACATATAGAAGTTTAGCAGCATTTCCATTATCTGAAGAAACACATGGAGGTGAAGATGTTCCAGTTTTCGCAATTGGACCTGGTGCTCAATTAATTGGTGGTGTCTTTGAACAAAATTATTTAGCTTACGTTATGAGTTATATGGGTTGTATGGGACCAGCAAAAGATGTGGATAAAACTTGTAATGAATATTTGAAAAATGAAAAAAATTCGGCCAATATAAATAGATTTAATTACAAAATTTTTAACTTTATTTTCATGTTATTTAGTTTGAATATATTGTTTTCGTATTAGAAAATATGTTAGTTCTAATAAATTAAATAAATTAAGTAAAAAGTTAGGATTATAGTTATTCGATGAAAAGAATTTAAACATGTAGAATTCGTGTAGGATAATTTTTGTTTAAAAGTCTGTTTTTGAAAAAAACATAGTAAAGAAGTAAAATTACGACGCATCAACATTTGTTTGATTACGCATTATATATCGATTTCCAAAATAAATATTCTTGAAATATAGACCTTTGAGGCACAGTCTCTAAAAGTTTTTAATTAAAATTTTAAAAATTTATTAAGATTTTGGTTGATATATAATTGCTAAACCTACCGAAATTACTTTAAGAAAAAAAATTTTATGGATTTATCAAAAAAGCTCGAAAGAGGATAAAACGTGATTTTTAAGAATGAACTGTAGACAATAATAGATGCTCATATAGCTATTTGCATACATACATATGTAGATACATCTAAAAAATTTTAAAATTTCTTAATATGTTTTCAAAATTGAATTTCTTATTTGATTAAAATATTTTTATTTATTTTCCAACTAAAATAACATTAAAATACAGTGTTTTGGTTCTTTCATTTGAAAACTTTACAATATTTAACTCTATGTAATTTTGTATAATTGTTTATGTATATATATATATTAATTTCTATATAATTATGTATGTATATATATAATAATATAATATATAATAATTTTATAATATTTGTTGTATAAATATTAACATTTCATTTTTATTTTTTGGTGCAAAAAATTTTTAAATTATCTCAATATTGCGGTTCTTAATTTTTCATAATATGTAAATTTTATACTATAATATTATAAACATTTTTATTGTAAATATAATGTTAATATAGAAATATGTATGTAAATTGAATTTACTTAATTTTAATTGTAAATATTTCATTATTTTGGTTTCTTACTTTATTTAATCATGATAATTATTTTATTTTTATTTCTACTTTAACTCTGATCACATTCAAAAGAAAATATGTGGGTACTTTCTTAAAAAAATTGTTGAATTGCAATTATAATTTAATTGTGTTTCAATAAGAAAAATGAGTTATTATTGTATTTATTAATTAATCCAAGAATATAATGATTTATGATAAAAAAGAATTTTGGTAGCTATTCCTATAAGCATGTGCATTAAAATATAGAGATAGTCTCAAATTATAACAATTTCAATAGAGTCAATTTTAATTCGACTCCCTATTGAAATCCAAATTCAAATTTCATACTAATTGCAAATAATGTTATCAAAAATACTATGTATAGTATACTATATATACTATAAATAGTATGTATGATATATATACTATGTACTATTCTTGGATGAATCAAAAATACATTCTGGATTAATTTTAACATGCAATTTCAATTTAACCTCTTTAACTTTTAACATTTTCTAACAACTTTTTATCTTAAAAGTAATTGTTATACATACATATATTGTTATTACATTCATGTATATTTTACTAATTAAATATTTATTTTTAATTTTGATTTTTTTACTTTTTCGATTAATTTATTTTGTTCATTTTATTATTTTAATTGTATTTGCTTAATTGTATTAAATTAGTTTAAATCAAAAATTTTCAATTTTAAATTAAATAAAAACAATTGGAGTAATGAAAACAAATTATACAAAAATTGCATTTGATTTGTTTTAAAATTGTAAATTTTATATTTAAGCCTCTTTTTACCATACTTATGTATGATAAAAAATTTCATAATTGATTTTTAGACTTTCCTTGCTTTGTTAACATATCATCTAGGACTGAAAAATCAAAACTGCCCTAGCTTGACTTAGAGGTTAATTATAGAAATCATTTTGTACTAAATCAAATTTTATACTGATTGAATTTTCAATAGAAGAATAAGATTTCACAGTAGTTGTGGCCGTAACTTACAAATAAAATACATACTTTGATTTAGTAATAACCACTTTCCATAATTGAACCTTGTGTTATAAAAAAATGTTTTTTAAGGAGCTCTTAAGAAGTCATGGCTTTTCCTACGAGACTTCAGACTATATTTTATTGATCAAAGGTTTTAAATTTTTATACTAATACAATTATTAGTATAAAAACTTAAAACCTTTATACTAATACAACAATTTTATGTGTTGTGCTTACGTAAAAGAAACTTTATAAAACAAAAAATATTTTTTCTAAATCCAAAACTTTCCTAATAACTAAGTTATTTTATTTTAAAATATTCTTATTCGTTTCATTTGTGTGAACAAAAATAATTAGTTTTTATTCTTAAAAAGGTTTGTAATAATTTTATATAAAATTTTTAACATTTATTTTTAAAAATATAGAAGAACTAATTGAAAATCAATTTCTATAGCCTACTATTAAAAAATATTATATAATAACAAATTGAATAAAAACACAGATAATAATAATAAATTCTCTTAAAAATAATAATAAAAAGGTAACTCCCTCTTAACTTCCTCCCCTCTTAATATTTCATTCTTTTCTTTTCTAATTTAATTCGATGTCATACGGCTGCATCCACTTTATTTTATTTAGTTTTAATGTCATCAGATAATTCATCGCCCTAAAAATAAATAAAAAAATAATATAATGACCTTTTATTTTAGATTTGGTTGGGTGTATTATAAATATGTACGCATGCATGGATGTAAGCGGTATGAATAATTATTAAGTCAATTAAAAGTAATAATGATTTTACAATTTTTTTATTTTTTTGCAATGTACTTTTTCAGTGGATTAATGGAAGTTTCGTCTATATTAAGTCATTAATGCGAAATCATTTTGAATGTTGGTAGCCTGCAAATATTTTGATCAGAAATTGCTAATCATAAGGAGTTTTAGAACACCGTGCTATTTGAAACTGTGTCAACAATATAACTGTGAATCTAATTGCAAAGGATTAGTCCTTTTCGCTGATGCAAAATGTTAGTTGGGCAAGAAACACTCCTTCCGCATTACTCTAACAATAAAGCGAATCTGGTGAGCCAAACGTTTGTGCTGAATCAAGGTTTTGGGGTTAATCAAAGCAATTTACTTGATAAAAAAATAATTTCGATGATTTAAATTTAATTGCATTATATGGAAACATTGATTCTTTAAGTTGAAACGATAGTCACGACAAAAATAATGTGCACTTAAAAATAATAATAACTAAAAACGCGGACAAAATACTTCAAAGGTTTTTTTTTTACTTAAAAAAAGTACCTTTTTTGAAAACTTATTTGAAACAGAAATTTTCCTTTCACATCTATTAATTTTTGGTGAACTTAACCAAGGTATATTATTACAATTATTCGTATTGTTGCTACTACAACTGTTCCCATTTACTAAAAAATTTTTTGTTTCATCTTCTTCTAAACTAATAGAAGTGCGAGTTTTTTTTAATCTTGTTAAACTACCGAAAAATTGTTTTTGACTTCGTCGATATTTATCAATTTCACCAAAAACAAAAGATGAAGCTCTTTTTTCTTCATTACCACCCGTTGTAGTAGTAGTACCATCAGATGATTTTAAACTATTTTCTGATGCACCTGATCCAGTAGATCCAGTTGCACCTTGACTATCCAATTCATCATCACTAAATGCGTTACGTTCTTTAATGATTGCGTTAGAATGAACATTTTGTGTATTACGAATATCATGACGATTATAAAATCGTTTCATTCGTAATTTAATTGATTTCCTATGATTACCCAATTTACGACGAATATCTGAAAATGGTGATGTCTGCTGATTTTGTTGATGATGACTATAAGCATCTGCTGGTAATGACATTGTTGGATGTAGATTTGTTCCTTCATATATTTTTTTATTTGTATTTCGTGGTGAACGAATTTTTTTATTACGTGCCAATTCTAATAGAGCTTCAATATTTATACGACGAAAATATTTCCATAAAGCATGACGTTGACTATGCTGTTGTTGTCTTTGTGCATATTCTGGTATATTTATCTGAAAATGAATTAAAGCTAAGTTTTAGTGTATGTACATATTAATATCAGTTCAAAAAAATACACAAAGAAACTACATAATATATAACGCAGTAGATTGTTAGCCCTAGTATTGTTTTCGGCAAAAAATTTGTAAAATTTTTTTTTTCTAAATACTGAATTAGGTACATAATTACAATTTATAGAAATAAATTAAATGTATTTTTAAAAAATTTCCCTGTTAGCTTTGATTTCAATTTAATATTGATGACTTATGCAAGCTCACAAACTTAATGAATATTAAAAACAAATTGAGGTATGAAAAAGCATATATACACTTCCATTGGGCACTCATACTCACATCAATACAAAATTAAAATATATCGTAATTTAATTTGTATTTAAAATATTTTTAAAAAGGATATAAAAACGGAGAGGATTTTATTTGAAAGGATGTTATATTTGTTCAGTTGTGGAGTGCTTTTTTTCACATAATTTTTTTTTGTTCTATAATAAGACAAATATTCCATTAACAGTTCTCTGTACAGTTGTCTAGACATTTTCAAAGAAACTATAGATAATGTACAAAAAAAAGTTTCGTTTGAACTAAATTTAATTTGCTTTTTTCTCCCTATAATTTTTATACCAACCACAATGTACACCTCTCTCTTGTTTCACTCCTCTCCTGTAAATTCAAATTAATAATAACGCTAAAACAAGAGAGCATAATTATGATATCTTTTAATAAATATTTATGCGATGTACTGTATGTATATATGTGTGTATGAGTGCATTTAATAAATATTTCTAGACTATTTTTTGCTTTCTCAATTATTATGGTTTTGCTTATATTAAAAAAAAATATTTTATAACATTCAGGATTACTATTGCACTCAAAAAGTCAATGATCTTTTGATTTTTTTATTTTTTTTTCTCCAATTTTTTATTTCACCATTTGCAGTGATTAAGGATGAAAAACGAAGTGAAATTATCATAGTGAAAATCAAGTTTAATATTACATATACGGTACTCGTACTACGTTTACTATATTTCACTATAAATATTTACTACACTACTACAACAATTACTACATCACTACTACGATATTGATAGTAGTGTGATTGCAGTCACTCCTACGTTAATAATAACAACAATAATAAATGTTGATTTATACATTTTTTGTTTTTAATTAAAATTTTTTTATTTAACGTTAGGAGTAGCTTCTCCTCGGTGCCTTTACTATTCTTTAGATTTTAATTTCTGAAGTTTACAACTCTTTTGTTTCAGCATTCACTATTTTAACAAAATATTATATAAATGTAAAATAAAGAAATTGCATTGCAAATTTAAGGTATAGGTAAGTAAGAAATATGCAATAAAGATTTTAATATTTCATCCTACATAGAACAATTTTTTTTTTCGTTTTTATAAATTACACACAGAGAGTGAACAGAGTCCGTAGAAGGAAATGAATAGTACCGTATATAATCGTTCGAGTTTTCTTTTTTACAATCTTTGAATATTTTATAATTTTTGTTGTTTCTTTTTGCAATCAACACATGAAGACCAATTTACTATGTAGGATCCTTATTTTCAGTTTTGCTTTTGTAATTATTATTATAACGTATACTCTAGATCCTTTGTATATATAATAAAATTTTACGATACACTTACCGGCTCATATATATTTTCATTTTCATCCTCATCTTCGTCCTCTTCTTCACCATCCTCATCTTCATCTTGCATGCATTCAAAATTTAGAACCTGCAAGAAGCAAATTTCATAAAAAAAAATTCGAGGAGTTAAAGAATAAAGTGTATTCAAAGTGAAAAGGTGTGTTCTTCTACTTATATAAGGAGTGTTTAATAAAAATGAAATGCAGAGTTACCACTGTATGCAATTATATTGGCAACGTAAACATTAATGAACGCATAATGTATTTAATAGCAGTCTTAGCAGCATATTTCCTTAAAGACCAATATACTTACGATACAGTGCGGTCTATCAATCAAATCCACTAAAAATCTTTTCATCAGAATATTCAATAACTTATTGATCCGTTAGCCATTGCTAAGAGTTATTCAACGTAGAAACAAAATAATAAAAATTTAAACGAAACGGCAACATTTTAATTTCCATAATATTTTCAGAGTTTTAAAGAGAGGAACAAAGGAAGCTTTATCGTAATTATGTTTGTACTCAATATACCCTTATAAACGTAAATGTGGAAGAGGTTTTGATTAATTCTCTTTTTTTATTTTTTGTGGAAAAATCAAAAACAAAAGATCCCCCTACTCTTTGACTACAAAATTTTATTTAAACAAAAATATTTTATGTAAAATTGAAAACGAAGTTAAAAACTATGCTGTTAACAAGACAAAGACAAACAGGTTTGTTGCATAGTTACAAAGTATTAGTTTCTCTAAAAAGCCTTTACTCTAATTCAAAAGTTTGTTACGGTTATGTAAATCCCTTAATAATTAGAGAATTTCCCTACCTTTTGAGAATTTTTAAAATTATTAATAATATTAAATTTTTCATTTTAGTTCACAAACCATATAAACATACTTTAGTTATCGCGGTAACTTTAATTTTTCAATACACCGGCATAAGGAAAAAATTTCCTTTCAACTGAATAAAGGATAATAGATTAATTAAAATTTTATAATGCTGATGCACGAGCCCTCTTGGTAGTCAAAAAGCGAATAAAGAGGGCAGATAATATTATGTAAATAAAGTCAAAAACCAGGAAATAATTGTTTGAACGGTTGAAAAAAGTTGAACTGCAGAAATTTATGGAATTATGTTATAGGTAGATATTGATTTTTCAATGTGATGTCAGAAATAGCTTAGATAATTCAAACACAATTTCGAAGTTATACGAAAATTCCTGTTGTAAATTTAAAAACTCTAATCACAGATTCGCGTCTGTACAAATCGTTGTACTGGTCTGTTACTAAATTGGAAGATTGCGGAAATTTACCCTATTTAATAAAAACTTTCACTTACCTCTTCATAATCACTTGAAATACATTGTAAACTACGTGGTCGTTCTCTATCTCTTGCTTCAGTTAACATTTTTAATTGATCTTGTAATTCTTTTAATTTTGCTCTACGTGCATGCTTATTTTTAAGATCAACTAAAGCATAAATTGGTTCTACACCAGTACCATTACGTATAGATGATAAACATTGTGCTGAAGCTGGTCTTTGTCCATCAATATCATTTAATACAATATCTTCGGTATGACTTTCACCTTCACCATCATTATGAACTAAAATATGTAAATCTTCTTCCATACTTTCAGATGGTTGTAAGGCTGGATGTATACGACTATCTAAAATTTTTGGCCGATTTGAGTATGAGCATTGTAAACGTTGTTGCTGTTGTTGTATAAATAATGATCCATCATTTATTGGACTATTTGTCATAGAATTATTACTTTCAGTTGTTACCAAACTACTATTACAACGACTATTTGATGTTGTTGATGAAGAGCTCAATGAAATTTCATCTTTTCCAGGTGAATTAATATTATGAGAAAAAATTTGTAAACTTTGATGTGGTGATGATGCTGATGATGATGATGAATTAAATGGATTCATTGAATTTATAGAGAATTCGGATTCATTTAAAAAAGGATTTTGTCCTATTCCTCCTCCCCCTCCTGTTCTTTCGAGAGAAATGGATTTTTTAAATGGAGATGATGTTGATGATTTTTCTGAATTTTGTGTCATTATTCTTTTGTCAGATTTATTATGCAATTCGACGACTTCATTCTGCTTAACATTTGGTTGTTGATGTTTACAGATATTTAAATCTTGCATTTTCTGCTGAAGTGGGTAACTATAATAGAATAAAAAAAGAAAAACATAAAAAACTTTTTATAAATTTTTGATTTTTTTACTCGTTTTTAGGGTTGGGGTTGAAATTGAAATACAAAACAGTTTTGTAATGCAATATGATAAATACCAACTAAAATATTCACAATAGAATTGGAAACTTTATGTAGTCATCATTAAAAATTAATTATCAAAATGAATTTCAAAAAAAGTTTCACTATAATTGATAAAAAAAATTCTAGAGTGGACATGCCGTAACTTTTATATAAAAAAAAATGAAATACTCGAAAGTGAAATGAAAAAAGTTTTATTAAAAAAAATTCAAATGGAAAATACAGAAAGAGGGAAAAAAAATTAAATAAAATTTTTTGTAATTTTTTTTTATTTGGTGTTGAACGAAACCAGCATTTGAGAATGGATTGAAATTGAGTAGATTGGAAAACATTCAGAAGAGTAAAATTTTAAACGAAGTTTGTTCTCGACAACAGCATAGTAAACCACATTAAACTTTTACAGATTAAGAAGAAGCTTTCATTCTTAAGTAGTGGAATAGTAGCTTTTGCGTACTCTTGTGTTCTGAATAATTAAGGAGATTCGACCACGCACCAGTTAGGGCAGTTCGGTAAAATTCGATAACACAATGAAAAGTTTAAAGGAGATTTTCTTATTAAGGAAATAGTGTAAGTTTGTTCTCCTTTTTAAGGTAATTCTTTGCGTTGCAGGGCTCATTATTTAATCAAGGGCTACAAAATAAATCTTATATGATCGTATATAAACCATAAATAATTGGAATTTTGTCAAATTTTTTAAACGAGTTTTTTTTATCATAAATTTTTTTCTACATTTTACAAAACATATTTTCCCAAAAGTCTATACCTAATTACTATTATGACTTCAGTTATATGACGTAGCGCAGGGATCTCTGGTTATCTTTAACTTAAGTAAGCAAAAAGATTTCAAAATAATCTGTATAATTTCAAATTTTTTCCTAGTGTATACCAATATTGACTCAGATTTAAAGGTTATCGTAGTGCCTTATCGTAAAAGTTATATTACAAAATATATGAAAATGGAACTGAAGTTCAAAATTAAGCCGAAAAAGGCAAACAAATGCAAGTATGTACGTACGTATTCCACTTCCAGAAGTGTATTGATACAAGAAACAGTATAACTTCGGGGTAACGTTACATCTTAAACAAAATTGCTTCGAAAAGCAATTATACCATTTAAGTTAAGCGGTTAGGACTCGCTTAAAATCAAAGGTACTCGTTAAAAGGAAGTTACGACATACAAGTGTGTTACGAAAATCAATTAATAAAATTTTTAAATTTAATAGAAATTTCAAGTATGATTATTGTGCAAGAAATTTTAATAAAATTTCAAAACAAAATTTTTAAAATAAAAATTTTTTTAATATAAAAAACGAAAATTTAACAAAATAATTTTTACATTTACATGCACACATGTGAAACGCAGCTGAATTTTTTTCTTTTTTTTTTTATTGAATTTTATTTTCGTCTAATATAATCCAAGTGACCCATAATTCTTTAGTCACTGACAATTACATAAATTACAAGATTTCTAGACAACCGCACATACATATAGGAAAAGAAAAGAAAAAACTATTTAAAATTACATAAAAAAAAAATAAATGGAAAACTTTGAAATTTAGAACAAAAATTTTGAAAATAAATTTTCCATGTTTTTCTTTTCAGTTTCTGATTATTCTATGTTCTATTTCTTCTTCTTCTTGTTTAAGATTTAGTCTTGAAAAAATTTTCTTAATAATCATTTTTTCTTGAACGACAACATCAGAAAATCTTTTTCCATATTATATGGAATTTTTCTTTATGTTTTTTGTTTTGTGTCCCATTTCTTATTTCGGTTTTTGTTATATTTTTGAATGTGCTTCTAAAAATATCCTTGACTTATAAAGAATAGAGTTGTCTTCAGTCAGAAGTGGAGTGAATGTACATAAGAATCCCTTATACATATTGTTGTTAGATAATGTTTTTATTGCTACCGGCATAGTACTGCTGCAATAGTCACATCTCTGAATAAAATAAACATAAAGATAAAAACAAAAACCAAATTGAATTTTTTTCATTGTGAATTTTTCTTTTTATCTCCTTGTTATGTATTTCTTTTCTTTGTATATAAATTTTAATAACAAATTAAAATAGAATATACTTTTAAAAAATTTGATTTGTCTGGCTATTTACTTCCCCCTCCAGTTGTTTATTTCTTCGGCATTGCAACAATAACTACCCAAATGATGTAACGACAATTATACTGTTACGTTACCTTTAAGTAGATTGTCTTATTCTATCTTTATGTGATAGTGAATTTTGAAATTCATCCTAAATATATGCAATATGAAAATTAATTCAAATAAAACATTTATACAATCTGCAAAACTTCATGTTCTGTTCAAAACTTCAGTTTTTGATTACGATTAAATACGAGTTTTATTATTGCTCTTTAATAAACTATTATTATAGTCTGTCTAAAATACTAAACTATAGTTCCATAGTACAATGTTCTTATATGATTCAATTTTCAATTGACCAAATTTCTCTCATTTTTTTATATTCTGAGCAATTTATATAATTTGAAAACTAAATTTTCGGCTAAATTTTCTTAAAGTAAGAAATGAATTAGAAAGAAGACGGTCGGAGAACTGGAAAAGTCCCCCGGGGCTGCGGCAGACCAAGAAGCTTCTAGGAGATTACGACCAGAAGCGATTTGAGAAAATTATAGGGATGAGCACGAATCAGGTGAGAATTTTCATCGAGGTCTTATCAGCGCACCGTAGACAAGAGTGTGGGTGCACCTGTTGGCTGCGCTTCAAAAGTGAAGGTATTTGTGGATCCTATGGGGAGGATAAGGAGGATTGAGAACATCTTCTGTGAGAGTGTGTGATGTTCTCGTATAAGGAGAAGGTAAATACGGGTGAACTTTCTCTTCACGGCGGCGCAGTTGCGTTCTTCGGAGTTTCGGGGCTCACAAACAAGATTCTCACTCACTCGGGTGGATTTCGAGCGGAATACATAGGGAAAAACCCTCCGCTCCGAGGGGGAGGCAAAATAGATTCTTATACCTGGTCGTGGTGCACTGTTACCCCAGTTGTATAAATTTATAAATAGAGTATTTTAGAAATGTGCTCTTTCTAAGCCCTTAATTTAATTAAAATTCACTCCTTTTTTTTCTTGCTTAATTTTCTTCGTTTTCATTGTTCCACTCAATACAATTTTCTTAAGATTCTTTCTGTTACAACATCATCATATGATACGCTTATCATGTGAATTGGTTCAACTTATTGTAATATGTAGAGGATTAATAATTATTTAAAAAGAGAAAAAAAAATCGAATTGACTGAATACTTTGAGACAGTCACATATATATACGAGTATATACACTGAAATGTCAAGCCTGGAATTTTCTGTTTTTGTAGTCTAACTATGGAATGTTTTTTGAAATTTAAGTACATCTCTCTTGTTTATTGTTAACCTAAAAACATTACAATCACTTTAGTATAAGTATACAAGTGGTATCAAACAATATTTGATTTGAGATCCTACTCTTATTTTTTGGAAAGAAATTTAGGTAATCAAAAATTTATTATAAATTTATCTACCGGTAGGGCTTCGACTAGTATTAGGACTAGGCCTGACTAGAAAGCGCTTGAATATTTTTACATTTGCTTTAAAAAATTGGGGTCTTTTACTCGTTACCCGTTCGAATAAAATATAAATTTAAAAACTTTTTGACAATCACTGTAATACTGTAGTAATGAAAATTCTTCAACATATCATAGAGACACTTTTCTCATCACCCAAATAAAGGGAATAATAAATTTCGAGAAAAACAATAACAAAAAACAAAAAATTTTAAAGAAAAATGAAAATTAAAATCCAAAGAGAAAAGGTGAAAAACAAGAACTTGCAATGCACTGAACGTGTACTGCATAAAATGTCAAAAATATTTATGCTTTAGACGAGGTTTGTGCACGACATGTACGTCACATATACTCTACTTTACATTGAGATCACGTTGTACCGCTGAGATAAATGTAAAAAGCATTGAATTTCATTTAAATTAAATAAATTTTAATTTTTTTATTATAAAATATGTACTTTATTTTATTTTTTCAGAGTGTTGCATAAACCTAGTATTCAGTTCTATGGCACAAAGAATTAAGTTCAAAAATCAAAAAGAAGAACTATCGTTTGACAATCAAAATATGTGCAACTTTATACGTCATTACTTGAATGAAAAGTGATGAGTAATGAAACAATTAATTAAAATAATTTTCGAAAGTTGGTAAAGTAAAAGATAGGAACTAAGTTGAAGTTAAGAATCAAAGTTGCAGAACGGACTCGTAACAGCAAAAAATGTATCGACCGACCTCAAATTTTTCGAAGTTGGCCTTAAAAAAAACTTACTCGAATAAAGACGGTGTAACTATGACCCTGGACGGAAGCTGATTTTGACAATTGTAAGAACCGTTTATTTGATGGAAAATATTGTTTTGTTTGGGTATATAGAACATCAATTTGATATATAGATGGGTAAAAAGTTACCCGTTTAATCATTTTTTCAGTTCATGCAAAAAACTAGTTCATATAAGAAATTTTTATTTAGGCAAATACGTCATTTTATTTTTTTTCGAAGTGAGCTTGTTACAAGCTAAAGTTTATCTTGTCATGTACAATGTTGGTATTTGAGCAATTATACAACCACCTATATGGTGAGTCGTTCGAGAATTATGCTACCGAAACAAGAACATGAACGTAATATTTAATGGATAAATTTACATACATTTATGTATGTACAATTGTCATTGTAGAATAATTATATTTATCACAATTTTGTGAGTACCTACATCATTAAGTCAATGATTCATTTCAATTCAATGTTAATATTATTATAATGTAATTTTAGTTGGAAATTATGTAGAATAATTGTATCATTATATACGATTCAGAATCTTCAAAAAATTTC